CCGGACACAACAGAGCGTTGTGAGGCTAAAGGCATATTTTGCATCTGACCTCACACGCTGTTTCGTGCGCAGGCTTAAGGCACTGCCCGCATAGTCTCATTTTTTGAGACTTGGAAAATGCGGGCATAGGCATTCGGAAAGCGCGGGCACCGCCCGCTTTAGTGCGAAACCTCGTTCTCCTGTAGTGTGCAGAATATACAGGCTGAACGAGGAGTAGTGCGCTCGACCAGTCTTTCCAAGGCAGGCTTCAGTTTGGTGAAGTCCCCCAACGAGTCTTGAATAATTGACAATCTCTCGATTGTCGCTTGAAGTTGCTCGATGCGAGCCGACATGGTAGAGATGAATTCGTCGAGCTTGAGACGGATCACGTCGCTCTTGTGATCTAAGGTCTTCAAGAGCTCCGTGTGGAGGTGGTCTTCGTCGAGCAGAGGTTCGTACTGGGCCATTTCAGCTTTCTGGGCTAATATCGGGTTTATGTAGGGACTTCGATAAATATAACTTTTGTTCACGCCCCGTCTCATCATAACACCGCCTTTTACGATTCGTTTGGGACTATTTACAACGTGCTTTGTACAAGATTGTGAGTAGTGCATATACATCAAGTTTGAATCTTGAGATGGATAGTCAAGTTTTTCAACGCCTTACAACGTTCTTCCCCTGTCGTACTGTTGAGAGGATGAGTCGTAAGGCCCACCAGGCTACCTTCAAGATGCCAATGGCGACTTCGCAAGTGATGATGATCGGTAGTATCCTGACCGCGACCTCGACGATTAATGGGCCAAATATATATGTTATCATCACTCTTGCTGCAACGGCTGTTGCGGACATCAGCGCTATTTTCCAATATTTTTTCATGTTGTTCAAAAGTGGCTTCATGTCGGGTATCCTTACAATTTTCCACCAGTCATCGGGTTATGACACGTGCGTATCTGTTTCATCAAACACAGCATTGTTATCGCTTATTTCGTGGAACGTAAGGGTTCCTCTCATAGCAAAAGTTATGTCTTTACCATCGCAATCTGTGTGGCAGTCCTTTTCAATTAGGGCGTAATTGAAGTTGAGATTTACAATACTTGATTGGTTTGAGGGACCGCATTCAATGGAGAATGTTTGCTCCTCACACTGTACTGTAATCCAAGAGGAAACATTGGTTTGACATGAAATGTGGGATTGCGTGCCTTCTATGCAATCGTAGCAACCCAGTAGTTTCCCAAATTGGATATTGCATGGTTGTTCAATAACATACTCATTACTGTTGATCAACGCGTTTGAACGAAGTGATAAGATAACTTCAGCTTCTGTCGAGGATAAGATTAGCTGCTTATCCTTCGCGTTAATTATCTCTGTTGGAGTGAGGATGGGAAAAGTGTTAATCGATCTCGACTTTATAAGTGACATCGATTCTATAGGACAAGTGCAGCCGGTTTCTGACCATGAGTTGTAGCAAATGCATTCGAAGTGGGAGGTGCAATTGCCGTAGTGTTTAGCTGCTGCTTGTTCAGTTGC